TTTTAGAATGAGGCAGACAAAAGTTGGAAGGCCGGTTAATTTTCCCCTCCTTCTCCCGCTTCAGCTTCATCTCCCTGGGTATCCGATGTCCACAACTGGTAAAAGAAAAAAGAGACTTTTCAGCATGTTTCAGTTTGGGGAAAAAATAATAAACAAAATTTCCATATATATGCCACAGTATAAGAATATTACAGTTAGAAAGCATTCTTTAAAATAGCAGCACTGAATATTATCTTCAAGATACAAAAACACCTCAGTATAATAAGTTATTTTTTACCTAATCATTTTGTAAGCATGATAAATACACAACAGAGTTAGGTGTCTTCAACTAACAGATAGAGTAAACTTCTGGCATTCATAGAAGGTGAACAGAAAATAAAGCTAAACTACAAATCTAGCTTTTCTGACATTTTTTAGCTTAGAATAACACCTTTGTGTATCTGCATGATTTCAAAATAAATGCTGGACAAAATGAAGTATGCTTAAACCCACATCTTCTAAGAGGTAAAAAATTAAAGTTATCCCCATAGTGGTAGTATTATGGATTCTATTAATTTTTTTCATTAATGTTATAATTTCCAACAGGTTAAAAAATTTGAAGTTATTTTATCATAATTGCTCGTGATATGTTAAAGAAACGTTCCCCAAATCATCCATTAGTTTAATTTATTTATTAACCAAATCTATCTCTAAACTTTTGGAAAGGGAACTATTTCCAAGGTCACAGAGGTAGCCAAAAGACTTTTTGAAATTATCTCTAATCTCTTGTTCTAGTTCTAACTTTCAAGGATTCTTGAGTTTTCTATACAAACATGTAAAAATTAGACAGTATTTCTCTTCTTAGGGTAATGTGTTGATAATCTTGATCAAGCAAGCTCAGATTCAAAATACTGGTTTTAAGGTTTTTAGGAAAACTTCTTTTCTTAACTGATAAATGAACCAATCAACCTGTAATGGTAACTGCAGATCCTATGAAGGCCCAGAGACAACCCAGACCAAACAGCAACAGAGTAAAAACTGGAATGTGTTTCTTCTTACAGTTGTTGCAGTATACCCTTCATGTTATACTGATACCAAAATTCAGCTGTGAGTATATAAGACCAGGACTTCTTAAAAAGAGGTGAAAACACAACACAATAAATAACTAGGTCTCAAGTTTCATCTTTTTAAAATGTCATTTCCAACCAGAAAAGAAAAACTCTTAAGACTATAATTAGTTAACAAAGTATTTCTTTTATTTGATATATTCTTTCTTTACTAAAAGTTTACTCTCTTGACTAAAAAATCTCACAAGTTTATAGATAGCCCCAAATTTCACTTACTAAAATAATAACAAGTATACAACACTTTTCAAAAGCTCTACATTGAGAACATTCAGCACTAAAATATAGATCAGAAATGGCTGGGCTCTCGGCAAGGCCTGAGGTAAGTGGATCACCTGAACTCAGGAGTTCAACACCAGCCTTACCAAAATGAGACCCTGTCTCTACTAAAAATACAAAAACTAGCCAGGTGTTGTGGCAGCTACACAGGATGCTAAGACAAGATCACTTGAGCCTAGGAGCTTGAGGTTGCTGTGAGCTATGACACCCCAACACTCAACCCAAGGGCAACTGAGTGAGACTCTGCCCTCCACCCAAAAAAGATTAGAAATATTCCTTCTTGCAGAACAATGTAATCTCCTCAAACACATCCTTAAAGTTGCTATGTACTTACTGTCAAGTTGTCTCTCAGCAATTGCATTATTAGCGTGCTGTCTTTGTATGACTCTTCACTTAATGTATCAAGTTCAGCAATGGCTTCATCAAAAG